GCCGCCGCCGCCGCCGCCGCCCAGGGGGGCGGTGAAGCCTGAGGCTCCGCAGGAGGTGTGGGAGGGCGGACGGGTGCCGGGGGGCGGGGTCGGCGCTTCGTGCGGGCCGCAGGGCACGGCCGCTAGAAAGCAGCGGTGCGAAAACCGCGCTTCGCCCCTCTCAGAGGTGCGCCGAACCCCTCACCCCGACGCCAAGTAAGACCGCGGTGAAGATCCGTGCCTTCTCCTGGGGGGCTGCCCCCGGGCAACAGGCACGTCGGGTGGGAAAAGGCGTTTCCCAGCAGGCGGAGCGCACGGCGCCCTCCGAGCGCTCCTCGGCGGGGTGGCTTTTTGTCCTGCCTGTCCGTGTCCCCCCGTCCCCCCCCCGTTTTACCTTCTTCAAACTATTTCCAGCTTCTTGAGAAGTTCATACCTGTGCACAGTTGAGGAACTAGCGAGCCGCAGTGTAACATTTTACATTCATGCTCCCCTCCCCCCTCTTGTTTTTGTTTTTGGTTTTTTTTTTCAGTAAGCGCAAAGGCAGAGGTGAAAGGCAGGACATCGCCGGTTGCTGCACCGGGGGGAAAAAGATCCCCGCATGTAACCTCATCTGACGGAAACACAGCTTTTTTTTCCTCGGCCGAGTTCAAAGTGAAGCAAGAATAAATCTAAATCACAGTTCAGGACCTCTGCTTTAGGGATAAAAACAAGCTGATTCAACAAGTCTAATGTGGATCTACAGGGGAGGGCAGCTGCAGCGTTCAAGACTAATTTAAAACTAACAGGAGTTTCCTTTCCGGCTGAAAAAACAAGCAGTTTGCTTTCATGTTGTGAGAGCTCTCTGGCCGAGTCCCAAAGGGCCTTTTACAACTGTGCCGCAAAGTCAGCTGGAGCAAGGGAAGTGTTTTAGCATGCCAAATTGATCTATATATGGAAGAATATTGCAATATTGTGTACTCCTTAAATACTTAAAGACCAAATGGAAACAGGACCTCACAATCTGCTGTGGGCAGGGAATTGTTATTTGGACAAGAGTCTCATTTAAAAACCAAATCCACAAGATCTCCATTAATCATGTTCATAGACCTCAGAACAACTTTTTAAAGTTTTCGGCATACTACCATTATTAAGGTTTTCACCAGAAGTTTAGGTTAGATGTAAACTTTGCTTTTTTTTATGAGCCAAAGTAGTACAGTACTCGGTTTTCAGCTGTACTTAAAATCCTTCTTACCAAAAGCAACGTCCTTCTTTTCAGTCCAAAAAATACCATTTCCAAGTTAACACCTCTTCATGATAATTAATATGGCATGGATACAGATGTGTTTGTATGTCATTAAGTCACAGAACAGAGGTTTTATTACATGAATTAGCATTGATTTGAAATAGTGCCATTATGAAATCCAGAAGAAAAGCCTATAAGGATTTGGGCTATCACATATGTCCACTATTTTTGTGAATAGCATTAATGGACTGATTATCACATTTATTTTTATCCATGTACCTTATTTGTAGTCTTTTTCCCATAAAAAATTACAGTTGGGATCATATCTGCAGAGCAGTTAAAAAAAAAAATAGTCCCAAGCAATGGCCAATGTTGTAAAACCTGGTGGTACACATCTAAAACCAGCTTAGAGACAGTAATATTAGAATTAATGTCAGAATTTATTCTCATAGTAGAGAGCCTGGGTTTTTTTCTTTCAAGTGTTGAATATTTAAGTGGACAACAGTTCACGGTGTCAGTTATCTTTTCTGAAAAAAAAAACCCAACCCAGATACTTTAATTTCTGAAGACAGAAACACTTATTTATTATCACCTCATTTATACAGAAAGTACTAGAACAGGGTATGGATTAAAAAGCTAATTATAAAGTGTAAGAACATATATAGTTCAGCTGCAAGTGGGCATACAATGTTTCTGTTGAACAACTATGGAATTAAAAAAAAAGAGAATGAAACATACATTAGACTGACAGATTTTTTCTTAAAACACCATCATGTTGCTACATAGCTCTTTGTAAGCTGTCCAGCCTAGATCTTGCAACCTACCAAGCACTATTATTTAACTAGCAAGACATTTCTCTCCACTTCAGTTTGACATCCTAATTCCAGCATGTTAAGCACATACAGTGAAATATATTGCCAGGCACAAGCATAAGCCTGCAGAACCAGAATACTGGACTTTTAAAACAAACCAAGAAAACCCCACCAACCCCAGATCCCAAATCTTTTCAAAGTCTTGCAAATAATTCAACACAACAAATGCCCAGAAGGATGTGGGCCAGAACATCCGGTATCAAAAGGTGTATCTTTAAATGAGAGTAGTAACTTTTCAGTACTAAATACATTCCGGTTTGATGACCTACCAGAGAGGTACATCCCGTAAAGAAACTGATTGCATAGCTTGGTTTTCAGATTTACGGAAGGACTGTGTGTTTTACTACAAAACAGAAAACTTAAAAATTCTGTTATAGAAAAAATACTGATCAGCAGTTAAATACAGTTGTTTAGTATAAGCTATATTAAACCAAACCACATCAGACTTTCATCTAGAAAATTGTAAATAGAAGATGTAGGATTCAGAAATGTTAAGGCCCCAGGCGACAATTAAATAACTAATGCATTAGAAGTATGCGCCTAGAACAGCTTACTCCCTCTACTGTGGTGAATTCTCTTGACTATTTCTATTATGTGTGATTTAAATAATGAATAATTAGAATGATACAAAATTTTTATTGTATATAATTAGAATAAAACGAACTTGATATAAAAATCAGCATGTTATAAAACATACTAAGTTAAATTCACTTTAGCAGATGCAAAAGCTGTTTTGAACAACCCCATCTATTCATTCAGATTCGCTTAGCCTCCAAAATAAATGTGAGTAATCATAGGTATTACTCTCCCCTCATACAGTGCAAATCCTTGCAAATACAAAAATCGTCGTAGTTGCTCTCCTCAGATCCTTTCCTGTATTTGACATTGTACAGAAGCAGCACAAAGATCATAAAACCTGTTGTCCTGGTTTCGGCTGGGATGGAGTTAATTTTCTTCCCAGTAGCTGGTACAGTGTATTTTGGATTTAGTGTGAGAATAATGTTGATAACACACTGATGTTTTAGTTGTTGCTAAGTAGGGCTTATCCTAAGACAAGGATTTTTCAGTTTCCCATGCTCTGCCAGCAAGCAGGTATACAAGAAGCTGGGAGGGAGCGTAGCCAGGACGGCTGACCCAAACTAGCCAGAGGGATATTCCATACCATAGAACATCACGCTCAGTATATAAACTGGGGGAAGTTGGCTGGCAGGGGCCGATTGCTGCTCAGGCATCGGTCAGCGGGTGGTAAGCAATTGCATTATGCATCTCTTGTCTTTTCTTGGGTCCAATTTCTCTCTTTTTGTTATATTCCCTTTCATTATTATTATTGTTATTATATTTGTATTACTCTTATTGTTGTTATATTTTATTTTTTTAATTTTAGTTATTAAACTGTTCTTATCTCAACCCACAAGTTTTGCTTTTTTTTTCCATTCTCCTCCCCATCCCACTGGGACGGGGCAGGAACGAGTGAGGGGCTGCGTGGTGCTGAACTGCTGGCTGGGGTTAAACCACGACACGTCTTGCCCAAAGGTAATGCCTTAGCAGTCTTTACACTCTCTTTGCAATCCTTCTGTACCAGTCAAGGTAGGACACAAAGCTGCATTACAGTAAAACTGTGGAAGTACTAAATACTAATATATGCAGTTAAAATCCTTGCTGTGTATTTCCCTAGCCTGTTGATAAAGCACAAGTAACATTTAAATACAAAGGGTGTTTGCTGAGTTTTAGTTATAGGTTAACCTTCTGTATTATATTAAGCATAAATTCTTCTACAAGAGTCACTCATTTCTTTTTCAAGATATATCACTTAAACTGAAGTACCAAATATAGTTTTCAAAGTTACAGCATACTTTTTCTTCAAACACCTGTTAGATTGAAGCTATTTCTACAATATTGTTTCATCAACTCATCAAGGATCTTCAGGCTACTCATAATAGAAATTCATAACAAATGAACTAAAGTCTTTCAGAGAGAAATAGCATATACACAGACCTATACAGAACAGGAAACCACCCCATTAATCCTTCAAACACCCTAAGAGTGGAAGTGCAGAATTTTCCTGTCTGCAGAGTACGTCTGACAGAGAGAGAGATGGCAACAGCTCTACATCCATTGAGTGGGGTAAGCAGAATCAGGACTTCAACCAGTATGGATTTGTTCAAGGATCAGTAGCTAGCTGTAGAGGTAGGAAAAAAGTGAACCCTACCCCCCAAACCCAAATCACTTTACAAAGTGATTTCTGCAGTCTATTGTTTATGGATTTCTAACAAAACCAAGGCCTCTATTAGATGTGGAAAAAAAAAAAAAAGTCCATGCAGTAACACCCCTGGAAAATTCTGGGCTGTGCAAAAACATAGGAACAACGCACCCCTTACCAAAATTGCTAAACTTTGTAAGATTACTAGGCTGGTACTTTTTACCTGGCTATCTTGGCAGACAGCAGAACGTGCTGGAAGGTAAATCTCCACGTTTTTGGTGACTTAGGCTGGTGGAGCTTTTTCTACCCTGGCTATTGTTCAGGGCCTCTTTATGAAGGATTTGATAACACACACACAATAAAAATAAAAAAACCCAACAGCCACCCCCAAAACCCCAAACAAAAAAACCACACACACACA